ACTTGTCAAAAATCAGTGAAAATAAATTTCATACAAAACACACAAAAAGTGTTTTCAGCGAAAATTAATTCCAGCTAAAATAAAGTATTTTAAGTACGTAATAAGATCCATTACCCGCGAAGACATTCGATGAACAGAAAAATAGTTAAATTATTTATTTTAATATCGGTGATGCGGCTGTGTGTAATTGAAATAATTTTACAAATACTTGTCCATCATACAGGTACTGTTTTGTCGATGTGCGAAGGTGTTTGTTTGTACGACTTGGGGGTGTCAAATGGTATCAATAATTTTACTATAGCTTTCTTTGGAGCACATCACAAATATGTATAAATAGAAAGGTTTTGTAGTAGTGTCTCTTCATGGAAAAACCTCGACTATCTATCGAAACTATCGGAAGTTTAAGTAACGGAAGTCGAGTTAACGGGAGTCCAACTATCGGAAGTTCAACTACCGGAAGCCCAACTACCGGAGGTTCAACTATCGGAAGTTCAAGTAACGGAAGTCAAGTTAACAGAAGTCCAACTATCGAAAGCCCAACTACCGGAAGTACAACTATCGGAAGTTCAACTACCGGAAGCCCAACTACCGGAGGTTCAACTATCGGAAGTTCAAGTAACGGAAGTCAAGTTAACAGAAGTCCAACTATCGAAAGCCCAACTACCGGAAGTACAACTATCGGAAGTTCAACTACCGGAAGCCCAACTACCGGAGGTTCAACTATCGGAAGTTCAAGTAACGGAAGTCAAGTTAACAGAAGTCCAACTATCGAAAGCCCAACTACCGGAAGTACAACTATCGGAAGTTCAAATATCGGGATTCAGTTCTGTTCTGTGGTGGAATTCAAGTTATACACTATAACCAACAAACCCCAAAGATATAGGCGGTGGTATTCTGACTAATTCCCTTTCGTTTGAATTATGCCGTATTATTTCTGTATCAGATGGCGGCTTAGTGCTGCAACAATTGTATTTTCAACAAATCAATTCAGCTTAGGTAATGTTATCTTGTATAAGGTAAATTAAAATTTGTAATACCGATCACGTGACGACAAAGTATGGCGCCATCGCGTCTCATAGGAAACTGTAAATCATTTTGTGAATGTTGAATAATTTTCGGCGATTCAAATTATTGTTAAGATTCAGCGATTGTTAATCTAGAACACCGGCGCGCGTAATGTATAATTACCACTACTTCGTCAACACCATTTAGAAATCGAATCGGAATGTGTTTTCCCGGGTGTGCAGAGGGTATGATATGAGTACACAGCACCTCAAGACGCCCACTCCATTCGAAACAGCCAAATAGACACCTCTTTCACAAGATGTTGCGAGAAATGTTTACCCCTTTACGGTCCATATTCAATGTACTGTAAAACATGTCTTTTTAGCTAGCATGTTATTTTAGCTAATTTAGCTAATCCGTAATTTTGCTTATTTCAAGATGCAGCTAATTTAACAGAAAGTCTATTCTCACAGGGAGATAGTCGACACTTTAGCTAAATTAAGAGTCAAATCCGCTAAAATTGCATGCAGCTATTTCAACGTGTTCTACAGTATACTCTTTTACAGTCCATTTCCCGCCTTACCGTGACTTCCGTTTCAATTTGTTTAATCTCATACGAGGCACCCCTCCTCTAAAAAGATGGATTTTGACATTTTGATTTAGAGTTTGAATACAGTTTGTTATTGATTGTCCACCATGAACAATATTGTTATATGGTCTATTCGGTGGCCCACTCCAATTTTATCCTTTGCAGGTACCCTTAATCTTTCGCTGGTTCCCGGCGTCCTTTGCGAATGGTAGGTAGGACGCAGGTAACTAGTAATCGCCCTATTGTTCCATTTGGGCCTGTTTTCCGGCCGGAAGGCATGTGACTGAGTGACGTAATTTGAAAACATTCCAAGTTCCGTTCTGCGTAAACATGTCTACAATACTACAATAAAGCCATGCTCAAACATACTGTCTGCTTAGATTTACACATTTGAGATGTTTCTGACATTCCTCGCTGTTTCTGTGAAAATTTATAACAAAAGAAACAGTTTTTTATTCACCCAACTTTCGAAAGTAAAAGGAAACCCCTAAACGGCCACGAGCGTAAGCGCTGCCGTCAGGTAACCAAGGGAAATAGAACAAGCAACGAGAAAGTGATGGACCAATCAGAATGTCGGATTCATTACTAGTTACCGGTCTCGTGTGGCTTGGTACGTCATGACACTTGAGGCGGGAACCAGCCAACCTTAATCTCGGATGTGTTCGAAATTTAATGTAGTCTAGGGCACACGTACACCCCAGTCTTGTCCATAGTTAATAGCGACATTTTGTGTTTAACCTTGATCATGATGTTGAGAACGAAATATCGCGAGAAATAGGGCGAAATATCGCGAGAAATAGGACGTGTTTACAAATAATGCAAT